AAGACCAAAGTCACTGTGGCCCAATGAATTCAGACTCACAACAATCCTCTAGGATGGAGCAGAATTGCTCCTTAGACTTTCCAAGACTGTAAATCTTTATAGGAGCAGACAGTCTCTTCTTTCTTCCACGGAACGCCTGGTCGGCTTGAACTGCTGACCTTGTGGTTAACAACCTAATGCTTAACTCACTATGCCACGAGGGGGAAGGGAACAAACTCTTTAAAAAAAAAATTAAATCCCTCACCCGCCCTGTGTAGGGAGGGTGTGAGGTCCTAGTGTAAAGCAATTAGGTAACAGACCTCAAGAGCCTCAAAAATGCCCTTCCACATGGCTGTTCCATCAGTCATGATTGTAGGAGGAAATGCCTTAGTTCTCAGTGCCTATAAAAGGTCCCCATGTGGAGATAAAACTTTGGAAAACTCATTGCCATGGTATCTATGATTTCCTTCAGCTGGGTTCTAGATGCTTGTCTTTGTCTAAGTTTACTTTTGTTTAAGACTTAAAGAGTCTGTATAATATTTATACACACACACACACAAAAAAACCCTTCTAGAAACTTGTCCTAAGAAAAGAGATCAAAAGACTTGAGGGGTTCTCGTGGCATGATGTCTGCATAGCACCATCCACAGCGGAGAAACCAGACACAATAGGCTAGAGACCGCAGTCAAGTACATCTTAGCCTCCTCAGTCTTCAGAGAATTAACTGGCTGGTAGCGTAGTGGTTACGAATCGGGCTGCGAACCGCAAGGTCAGCAGTTCGAAACTTCCAGCTGTTCGTGGGAGAAAGATGAGGCGTTCTGCTCCCGTAAAGATTTACAGCCTCGGAAACCCTGTACAGGGTCACTATGAGTCAGAACCGACTCCACAGCACATAACAACAACAACAACAGTGATAGTTAAGGTTTGGACCAGGATCCTCAGTGGTTTCGTATTTAAGACACAACAATCCCCAGGATGAGAACTAATATAATCACTTCCATGGTGAGCTCTGCTATGAACAGCTAGTCAACTGAAAGTTTCTCTGGAGATAAGACCTGTAACATCTTCTATCTTACAAAGATAAAAGAAGAGAGACGTGAGCAGAGGCGATGGAGGGTACCTATCGTGGGGTATGCTCTTTGGACCTGGGGTGCCGGCTCTGTGAAGCTCCTAGATCCAGGGAGAGACTGATGCCAAAACACATGGAAACTCCAAGGAATTCTGGGCTTACAGATGCTGAGAGCCTTGCTCCAAATCCAGGGCTCTGAATTCGGACTTCTAGCCTCCCAAACTGTGCAAGAAAAAATTTGTTTGATAAAGCCATCTACTTGTGGTATTTCTGTTATAAGTAGCTGAGACAGCTATTAACAAATAAATTGTGTTTCCTAATTATTTTGCTAAATAAGAATCAAAGACAAAATTTAAATTCTGGCTTGGAGGACCTTGCACAAACTCCTTAACTGCCCAGTGCCTTAGTTTCCTCATCTGTTAAATGGAAATAAAACCACCACTCCAGTCATAGGATTGCTGGAGGTTTAAGAGAATTAAAATATGAAAAGGGCATCAAATAAGGCAAGGGGGCACTGAGTAAGGGCTGCTTAAGTGCCTTTAAAAATAGAACACAGCAAAACAGCTTGGGAATGTCAGATTTGAAAAATATCTATGTGATGTTATTTTATGCTTTAAATATTTGCAAAGAAAGAAGCCAAAGTGTGAACAAGAGCTGTACCCTGGGGTAGTGGGTTTAAGGGGGATTTACTTTTTTTGTTTTAGATTTTTCTGTACTTCCCAAACTTCCCACAAAGGTCACAGGAATGGGGTTTGAAAGAGAGTAGAGTCATTTTTTAAAAGCGTTGGGAAGACACCAGGGGTTCCCTGTAACCCAGCTGTCTCTTCTTCCACTGACCCTCTTGGTGGGCACCTGGGTCAGGGATGGGCTTTGTGGATTCTTCAGGTCCCATCTACCTTCACCAGCCTGAGGGGCAAACCTGCTTCCTACCCTCCCTAACCTTCCTGGAAGTGAGCAAATTCTCCTCTCTGCTGAGAAACAGTGACCTCACCAACCAGAGGCAGAGATGAGTTTGCTGTAGAGAATACGTGGCCCAGGAAGCTGAAACATTTACCAAACCTCAGTGTGGAGAGCAGAAGAGGAATCCTGTGTGGGGCAAAGAGCTAACATGCTGCAGCCTTAACCACAAGGTTGGAGGTTCAAGGACACCCGGAGGTGCCTTCAATAAAAGGCCTGACTTCAGGAAAAGCAGCCACGTGAAAACTCTATGAAGTATAGTTCTACTCTGAAACATGGGAGTTTCTAGGAGTCGCAACTGGTTTTCACTGGGAGGATGCACCCCCGTGCTCCTTGCCGCTTCCTTCAGGGAGCCCTCCTTGACCTACCCACTGAGCACTGTTGAATCCCAGCCCTGGATGTTCTAGCTTCACACATTCCAGCTTGTTCAACACCATGAGATCGCAACCTCCTTCTCAGCGCCAGCCTTTGCTTGCTGAGCTCTATACCCCAAACACCTTCCCCCAGCCCCCTTTAGCCCCTCACTCCCACACAGACACCTTTGCCAGCTGATGCTCAGCTTCTCTCCTTTCAGATGTCCCTGGGAGAAGTTATTAGAAGCTAAGTGCATCTACTATTGTTAACAGTAAGCTGAACACTTGTCACAAATTCATGCATTTAAATCTTTTATCAATCTGTAAAAGTCGGACTATCTAGACTTCTGTTCTGCCAATGAAGAAACTGAGACACCGAGAGGTTAAATAATAACTTTCCCAGGGGCACAGAGCCAGGGAGCAGGGAAACCAAAATTTGAACCCAGGTCCCACCCCTCCAAACACCATTCACCCCCTGCCCCTGTTGTATTTGTTTCAAACATGTATTCTCTGAAATGATATTTCTCCACTTCTTTATCACACTGCCTTGCTTTATTTCAGAGGTTCCAAGACCTAGAAAAGGCTGACACATAGTAGCCATTTGATTTGTTGTTGTTGTTAAGTGCCGTCGAGTCGGTTCCGACCCATAGCGACCCTGTACAGGGCTTCCGAGGGTGTAAATCTTTACGGGAGTAGAAAGCCTCATCTCTCTCCCACGGAGCGGCTGGTAGTTTCGAACCGCTGACCTTAAGGTTCGCAGCCCGATTCGTAACCACATGTTAGTTAAATGGGAAGATGTGGAACTAAAACAATCCAGTTCCACCCAAGCAAAGTGAACTGGGGCTTGCTACCTCAAGAGGGCACTAAATCAGATACAAAGAACTTTTGGAGGTGCAGCTGCATAAGAGGTAGACATTGCTGTGTATGCATGTCCGACAAGCAAGAGGCCCCATGGATGTCCTGGAAGGTAGGTTTGGAATGGAATTGCCTCCTGGGATTCCAGGCTGGAGCTGGGCAGGGCCACTGGCTAGGGGCCAGAGCCACAGGCCTGGGTGTTTGGGATGGACACAGGACAGAGGGTGGTGTCTGGAACAACATGTTGTTGTAGTTAAGTACCGTGGAGTCAGTTCCGACTCATAGTGACCCTGCACAGGGTTTCCGAGGCTGTAAATCTTTACGGGAGCAGAATGCCTCATCTTTCTCCCGTGGAACCGCTGGTAATTTTGAACTGCTGACCTTGAGGTTGGCAGCCCGACTCGTAAACACTACGCTTACAACATAGAGAAGAAAAAACCACAGCTGGGTCCCTGCCTTTCAATCCCTTCGTTGGTGGGGCCTTGATCATCAGACACTCCAGGCTGGAACAAGGACCTGGGCCACACCTTTGAGTCACATTGCAGGTTCAGATCCTGACTAGGGCCAAGTGAACTTCCTCTCTTGAGGCTCTGTTTTCCCAGCTGTAAACAGGGTTGGCCTGAAAATCATCATCAGCGATATCATCAACAAGCACCAATGGAGCACTTAATGTGTGTGTCAATGCATAATTCTAGAGATGAAAAAGCTGAGGTCCAGAGAGGTGAAGTCACTCACCCAGGAGTAGAATTTGAACTTAGGTTGCCTGTTCTTAGCCCATCTATGGATGAAGAACTTAACATGAAACCTGGCACCCAGCTAGCGCTGGCTAAAGAACAACTGTCACTTTTACAAATGATTCCAGCAGTTTTCTCTCCAAGAGTGGTGGAAGGGCAGCTGACATTCTGGACACCCAGCATCCCCTTTCTTGGCATGAGGACTCAGCACTTCCTCCATGGAGCCCCCCTTCCTCCCTCACAGGCCACAGAGCTTGGGTGGGGCTACTCAGTCTTCAGGCTCTGAGGCGGGGCAGTAAGGAGTAAGGGACACAATGATTGGCTAAGAGCCTATGATCCAAGCCAGTCAAAGAGAAGCAAGTCTGGGATTTTTAATTGGTATTATCTAGACTGAAAGGTGGCATAGCAGTTCTGCATTGGGCTGCTAACCACAAGGTCAGCAGTTCAAATCCACCAACTGCTCCACTGGAGAAAGAGGAGAATTTCTGTTCCCATAAAGATTTATAGCCTAGGAAACCCTATACAGGGTTGCTATGAATCTAAATCGACTCGATGGCAGTAGATAAAAGTAGGTGGTTGTGTTATGTTACGTTAGTGCTGTCGAGTTGGTTCCGACACAGTATAGGATTTCCTGTATAGGGTTTCCAAGGAGCAGCTGCTGAGCTTGAATAGCCAACCTTGTAGTTCACACCGACTTTGCAGTCCAGTGCATTAACCCACAACACCCTGGTACAAATGTGGGTTGGCAAAGGGCTGACAAGGTCAGCAATTCAAGTGGCTGGCTGCCACTTAGTGAAGAAATAGAGAAGGCCAGAAAATTAACAGTCTTGGGGACCCTACACCATGCCAGATTACAGGGAACAGTGCTTAACAAAAAACCCACTTTCTCTGCATGGCCCCTAAAATCTGGTTCTCCCGCTTCTGGAAGTGAAGAGACAGGCTCTGTGAATTGCAGTAACTGCTTAGCGGGAGGCCAGAACTGTGTTCAGAGGGTCCATGCTGAGCCATGGGTAGAAGGAGGGACTCCACCCAGTCTCCCCTGCCTGCACTCACCTGGAGCCCCATCGAAGCCTCGCTCAGTGATGCTGATTTTCTTCACCATGTGAATGTTGCCAGTGGCAGGAGTGGGCGCTGGGAACGTTGTCTCCACCACCTCATGGCTGCGGAACACAGAGGGGCTCTCGGCCCCTCGAGATGTAGCCAGGGCCCGCAGCCCTGCTCCGTAGGGCTCCAGACTGTGAGCCCGCTGAGCAGGGGCTCCGGCAGCTGTGCTGGCTGACACCTCCACCTCCCTGGGCCCCTCCACTACCCGGAGACTGTCTGCTCGGATTGGGCTATCTGGCCGTGGCCTGGCCTGAGCTCCTTGCAGTTCCTGTAAAGCTTTCTTGAGCTGTGTCTCTAACACAGCAATTTTAGCAGCGAGGGCTGCCTCCCCGTCGGCCATGCCCAAGTCCCGCTCTCGGACCCAGGTGCCCACACTCCGGGTCTCGAGTGCCGCCGGCTGGTCGGAGGGCTCAGGCAAGTCCAGGCACAGCTCACTGCGACCCCGGGACCCTGTGGGGTGGCCCAGAAATTTCTGGCTCTTGAGCTGCACTGTGAGCTGCCGCTTTTCCTCCTGTAGGACGGACAGCTTCACCTGAAGTACAGGAATCAGCTTCACCTGCTCCTCCAGCTGCCGAAGCTTCCGCAGGGCGCCCGCCATCTGTTCCCGGACGTGCGCTAGGTGTCCTGCGCTGGGCGGCACCGGCGTGGACAGTCCTGATCCCCGTGGTGTCGGGGGTGGCAGCCCCACGCCCACCAGCGAACTTGTCGAGCCAGCTGCACTGGGTGTCAGGGAGCCCAGGCCAGAGGGTGCGGCCGCCTGGTCCTCAAGGCGGCGTCGGGCATCCAGTAAGGTTCGCTCAACGCGGGGATTGACACCGGCGCGGCTGTCCAAGGCGCCATACTGTGGGTAGAAGCCGCGGCCGCAGTAGGAGTAGGCCGAGTGGCGACTGTCCCCACTGGCGTTGGAGCATAGTGACTCAGTGGACGTCCACCAGGATCCGGGGCCTCGGGGCAGCGAGCCCAGGCGGGGGCGGCGCTGCACAGTGACCCGCCGCAGAGTGTGGCCCTTCTCGATGTCGTCTACATACTTGAGGAAGTCTAGGTCCAGGCGGTAACCATAAGGCGTCTCCACCGAGTAGGGTGGGTCAGGGTCCCTGGTAGGGAAGGTGGGCGGGGAAGCTGGACCAGGGGTCCCTGGGGTAGAAAGAAACACCAGTGCTTCTGAACATTGCTGGCACCCTTCTGTGGTGAAGACCGAAGTCCCCAGGCTCCCAACCTGTTCTCTACCTCTGAACTTTTTATCCTATCTCAGATCCCTCTCAAGAGAAGGCTCAGTCTCCCCCAACTTCTGACTCCCAGGGCAGGACTCTGCCTCACCCTTCATTCTCCCAGAGCTGGGCTATCTACCCTAAGATCCATAGAACCCAGTCTTGTTTCCCCCTCAGACCCCTGTCTCCTTCCTCAGACCCTCAGGGCAGGGCCCTATCCCATCCACTTCAGATCCCTGACCTGGGAAGGCGGCTGGCACGTGCAGGACCTGGGCCATCCTCTTGTGTGCAGGGTCCTCAGGAATCCCTTAGGAGACTAGGAATCAAGACAAGCCTGCAGCCCCGTCTGAGGCTCACCTGGGAGGATGATGAAGGAGGTGGGGAGGTCAGGAGGAGGCTGCAGGGGAAGGTGAACACCCCCACCTTCCCCACCCCCCACCGTACCCTCACTCCTGGGATAACACCTGGGAGGATCATGAAGGCGGTGGGGAGGTCAGGAGGAGGCTGCAGGGGAAGGTGGACACCACGCAGGGGTCAGGGACCCTCTAAAAGGCACACACACACACTCCTTGCCTGGCCTCCATAAGGGGTGGGGGTGGGGGCCACAGTTTGAACAAAGAAACCAAACCTCGCTTGCCCGCACATCTGTCCACTCCTGGATAGGCTCCAGCTGTCCCTCCCTTAGTCCCGCCTCTATGATGCTCCCGGGGGCTGGGGGGCCCCAAGCTTGCCAGACCCCACCCTTCCTGCACTCTCTCCCCAGACCCTTAGCCTAGTCCCGGGCTGGCCATAGAACAGATGGGGGCTGAGGTTGGCGGAGGAGTGGGACATCCTGCTAGAATTCAAGGAGATAGAGACAAAAGAGCATCAGTAAGGGACCCCCCAAGAGACCCCAAGCAGAGCAGGGTCAGGCCAGGCCTGGGAGTGTTGGGAGGGAAAGTGGGTGAGGCATCTAGGAGTGAAAGCTTCCCCCTTTATGGAAACAATTTTCTCTAAAAATAAACAGCTTCACTGCTTGGCTACACGAGAACTTCCTGCCCCCCCAGGACGCGTCCGGGCTCGGGGAGCATCAGAGATAGCGTTTGGGCGGCCCGGGAAGTCATGGGAATGTGGGAGGAAGTGAGAGGGGGTGCCCGGAGGCTGCAGAGGGGAGAGACAATCAGGGCCTCTCGTTAACCCACTCTGGGTCCTGGAGGCCAGCCAGAGATCTCTTGGTCCCCAGCACCCTTCTGTCTGAGCTTGCTGTCCTTCCTGCTGTCTGACCTCCAGCTGCCCTGCTGCAAAGGCCCCCAGCTTATTCTGCCTCTGGAAGGGGTTCTTTTAGGCCGGTGGGAGCCTGGGCACCAGGTACCTAGGAGGATGGGCCAGATGAGGCACCTGTCCGGCATGAAGGCAGGGCTGGGAATCCAGAGGTGGCCGGCCTGTCCTCACACTTTCTGCATCTCTTGCTTAGTGACTGGGTTTCTCTCCACGACTTTCGAACTTTCCACGTCTCTGTCACTGCTTCTCTGCAGGTCTCTGCCTCTCTCTCCACGTCTCTCTCCCTGTCTCTCCACGTTTCTGTCCTCACTTCTCTGTCTTTCAACTCCTGAAACACATGGTTGCTGATTGTAAGAAATTTGGTTTCTCTTCTGCCCCAATGGCTCACCCCCAGCAACAAACATCTTTTTTGGGGAACAGGTAACATGGAACGAGACCCAAACCCACAGTGACCCTATAGGACAAAGTAGAACTGCCCCTTAGGGTTTCCAAGACTATAAAACTTTACAGAAGCCTAATGCCACATTTTTCTCCCAAAAGAGTGATCGGTGGATTCAAACCTATACACTTCCGGTGAGCAGCCAGGCAATTTAGCCAGGCTGGAACAGCCTAGGGGTGGCTATTGCTCGTGATAGCAGAGGGGTGAATAGTGTTAATAACCAGACAAGTTATTTACTCATTACCAGCCCACAGAAGATGGGCCCCTGGTGATGTAAAGGGTTAAACACTCCACCGCAAGCTAAAAAGTTTGGCAGTTAGTTCAAACCCACCCAGAGGCGTCTTGGAAAACCGGACTAAAGATCTGCTTTCAAAAGGTCACAGCCTTGAAAACCCTGTGGACTTGTTGTTGTTAAGTGCTGTCGAGTCGGTTCCGACCCATAGCGACCCTGTACAGGGTTTCCGAGGGTGTAAATCTCTACGGGAGTAGAAAGCCTGATCTTTCTCCCGCGGAGCAGCTGGTAGTTTCGAACCGCTGACCTTAAGGTTCACAGCCCGATTCGTAACCACTACGCTACCAGAGCTCCTTACCCTGTGGACTAGTTCTAGCTATATACATACATGGGGGCCATGAATCAGAACTAACAGCAGTAACAGAAACCATCCGCCAGGTAGGTACTGTTAGGACAGTGTTTTACAGATGAGGAATCTGGGACACAAAGGGATGAAACAATTCGGAAAAGAAGTGCTATGTAACTGAAGCCACCCCCCAACTATCCACCAATTCATTCGCTAAACTCCACTCCCTTCTGGCCATTTCCCAGACAGGGAGACTGAGGTATGGGGCTCCGGTCACCAAAGGCTTCCCCCTGTGCAGCTTGGTGACTTAGGGTTCAGAGGAACAGAAACCAGATGTGGGGTGTTTCCATGTGGGGGTCTCTGTGGCTGAGTCTCTTCCGCTATGGGACCTTCCGCAGGTAAGAAAGATGGGGCAGCAAAGAGACGACATGGTAAATTTCAAGAGGATGGGGTGGAGGGGCTCAGGAAAGGAGAGCGGGGTGTGAGGGAATCTCAAATATCCGTCAGGGTCTCTCCAAATCTGCCGCACCCCCTCACCCCCCTCACCGGCCTAGCTGCCTCTGGGGTCTTCCCGCCCCTCCCCCCCGACTCAGAGACCAGGGCGAGGAGGCCCCCCGCCCCGTGCAGGGATGGGCGGAGCCTGTGGGGTCCCCCTGCTAATGGCAAACAGCTGCCGCTCCCCAGCTCCCCACGCCCGCCCAACAGTCAGGCCGAAGCCCATTCCGGCCACCCGGCCTCCTTCCCGCCGCTAGGGGTCTGGTTCCATCGGCCTTGGAGGAAGGAAAGGGGCCACGAAGTGGGGGCCAGAGGCTGATGGAGGGACAGAGATGGGGAAGAGACGGGCAAGGGAGGCAGCGATGGGGAGAGGGGCAGGACTGGAGTGGCAGATGGAGGGGGTCGGGAAGAAAGCGAGGCAAGGGCAGAGTCAGACATGGGGAGGGGACAGAGGCGTGGGGACTGAGACACTCAGGTCTGGAAAGTTTGCGCAAGGATGGTGGAGTTGGCTGCAGCGGCTCGGGGAGGCCCGTGAGGTCGTGCCCTGGGATTAGGAGTGGGGAGCCACATTTAACCTTGACCCAAACGCAGACCCCCGACCCAGACCACCCTGGTCCTACTCGCCTCGCCCGCTCCGGCCTCCGCCGTCCCTGCGTCCCGCTGCCCAGCGTCCTCCGTGCGCCGCGCCCGGCCGTCCGTCCCTCGGAGATTGCTCCGCCCCGCCCCTCCGGCCGGCCCCGCCCCCGGCCGCTGGGGGAGCCCCAGTCCTTGGGTGAGGGGCTAGGGTTGAGTGGAGATTCCCATAAACTGCAGGTGTGAGTGCGTATTGGGGGTGGGGGCGTCTGACTTGGCCTCCCCCTCCCCGCTCGGGGTTATGCTAGCCCCACCTCTGGCCCATCAGCTCGCTGCAGCAGGACTGCCTGGGGGTGGGGGTGAGACCACTCCACAGGGGGCGGGGCTGGCAGTGGCCCAACTCCAGGCGGGTGCAGCAGCGGGAGGTCACCCACCCCTCCCCCAGACAGCCGAGCTGGAAGCGGCCCAGCACAGGCCTGGTACATGGTGGCGTGACCGACGGCCTCAAGGGCGGGCAGACGGGAGGGGGCGGCTCAGTACGAGGCTGAACCAGCAATGGCTAAGGCCTGGGCTCCAATCCCAGTCCCACCAAAACGTGTCCTTCGTGCCTCAGTTTCTCAGCTGTAAAATGGGGTAATACCACGAGTCGGATTGGCACAGGGGCAGCAGCAATGGGCTCATGCAAGCCTAATCTCACAATTGTGAAGATGGCACTGGTTCCAGCCGTGTTTCGTTCTGATGCACAACCGCACCTAATGAGCACCACTGTGTCTACCTGATAAGGCACCCTGGTGGCGCAGTGGGGTTAACTGCTAGGTTGTTAACGGAAAGGTTGGCGGTTCATAGTTGGAACTGACTAGCTACTGCTCCCTGGCAGTCAGCCTCCGTAAAGATTACAATCTTGGAAACCCTATGGGGCAGTTTGTCCTAGGGTGGGCTGTTGAGTAACCCTTGGAGAGGGGGAAAGGGGCCCTAGAGAAAGTCCCTCAGGACAGGTCTCACCGTTGTTGGGGCCCAACCTACTATTTCAGAACTCATTGGAGACCACCGCTTTATTACAACTCCAGGACCCATTCAGCAGAGACTAGGTGGTGTGGTGTGTTGCAAGTTGCCAAAAGGTGGGTGGTTTGAAGCCAGCAGCCACTCTGAGGGAAAACGATGAGGCTGTCTGCAGTTCTACTGTGTTCTAGGGGGTCACTATGAGTCAGGACTGACTCACACCAGTGGTTTGGTTTAGGTTTTCCACATGGTGCTAATGATTTCCTTTCCCCGAAAGGTTGGTGGTTCGAATCGAATCCACCCAATGGATGGACTTAGCAGGACTTACTAAATGTCACTGTGATTCCTGACGGGTGGACATGTGACACTTACTCATGTTACAGGGGTTTGTCTGGTGTTGTCATGGCAGCATCTCCAGCACTTAGAAGGTTGTCACTGATGCAGGCTGAGGGGGTATGGGCAGTATATTGTGCTACACGTGGCCCCAGCCACCAGTGACCACACCACACAGACTGCGTATAAAAACCATTTTAAATTAAAAAAAAAAGGGGTGAGACGCATCAGTGCACACAGCTGGGGGACAGACAGACAGAGGGCCCAGTCCTACCCCCTCAGTGTCACCCCCAGGTAAAGCAGACAGTGGGAGACTCCCAGGTAGCTGAGACCCAGGTGCTGCCAGGAGGGCACAGGTAGCCGAAGGCCTGGGTGCTGTTCCTTTGGGTGTAGTTTGAGGCACCTTAGGTTCAGAGATCTGCTTTCCGGAAACTTGTTCTATTCAAGGAGTTTCTAGAGATGAAAGGAATAGGTTAGCATGGCCACAGGTCCTCCAATTACATAGTGATCCCCAGCATGCCACCGCCCTCTTCCAAAGATCCTTCTAGGGTGTCTCCTACCCCTTTATATTCATCTCTTGGAATGCACCATGGGAGGTATGAATCATGCCCATTTCACAGATATGGAAACTGAGGCTCCATGTCCACAAAGTGGCCCAGCTGGGTTTGGAAATATCCGTATGTGTACACATGGATGTACAAAGATGCAAGTGCATGTGTTCACGAGTATGCGCACAACAGCCCCCAGCCTCTGTCTCTCTTTCCTGTCGGCATCTACCCCGCCTAGGGTGGGGGCCAGGAGCAGGCACCTGAGGCCAGGTGCTGTTGGCGCCAGTAGCTGGGGCAGGCGCTGGGTGAGCAGGGGCTGCAGAGCCTCCCTCAGGCGGCAGTAGTTACGCTCCAGCTCCCGGTGGTACTCCTTTTGGTCTGGCCCGATCAAGGCCTTGTTCTTTCGTAGTGCATCCTCACACCTGCAGGCCGGAGAGAGAAAGTGAGACC